TTTAGGACACGCCCACTATCGCAGATGGAGGGTGGGGTGAGGGGGTGGGGAAAAAGGTGGGGGAGGGGGAAGGGGGAGGGTGGGGGAGAGGAGCTCTAATAGAAAAGCAGTTCACTCCATTGTTAACAGTCAACAAATCTATGTTAACCCTCCTCTGAGGGTCAAAAGGTTATCAGACACTTACTCTTTGCACGTCAGTGGGAAAGCGATTTCATTTCAATAAGCCATAAAAATGATAGGTCACCACTGAAACAAAAAAGTTTTCCATCACTCCGTCAGACCATGTCCACAGAAAATGTCTAAAATCAGCCTGTGCCCCATTGACCTTTGACCTTCGCTTGTTTGAGATGCCATTTGTGATTTTTGAAAGTCTTGACTCGAAAAAATTTGCTGCTGGTATGATGTGGTCAAATCAATTTTTCTATGCTATAACTGCATAAAATATTGGTGTTTTGAATGTTGGTGTAATCAGTGATATTTTCGCTGTCAGGTGAGACTATATTCAGCTATATTTATTTTTTCTGAGCAAAATTTTCGCAATGATTGTTTTAATCTTCGTGAACTTTTTCAGGATGGGTGAGGTGGAAGACTCGAGGTTGATCTTCCTGCGGGAGTACGTCGAGAGAACCCTCAAGTTAAAGGCGGACAAATGGCAGAAGCTGGTCAGCGTAGAGGAAACCAAGCAGCTACTCACAGACTTCTTCGAGAAATGCGACTACAGACAGCTCGTGATAAGCGCAAACTCGACCGGCGCGCTCGCCGCGACGTACGCATTTCCCAGCGGCCAGAAGACGAAGGCCGTTTACTTCATAAAGAAGAGTCAGAAGGAACCGATATCCAAAGACAAGGTGAAGAGTTCGCTGTTCGTCGGCGACCTCTCGCACCTCCCGCTCGAACAATTCTCGTCGCTCGTCGAGGAAATCCTCGTCCCGCTGCTTCGTAACGACTTCAACCAGAAGTGCTGGCCTCAGGTCGTCTCGCAGGACGTGCTCAGACACATACACAGCCTCAAGAACCGCGTGTTTGTCGTGTCGGGGCAGGTGCGCGGCAAGACGCTGCTGCCGCTGCCCGTCGGCACCGACCGCGTAGACAAGGCCGTGCACGTCGCCAAGACGAGCGGCGAGATCTACGACCGCGGGCTCATACACGCCATCGAGACGGTCGTCATCGACTGGACGCACCAGATACGAGACGTGCTCAAGCGCGACTCGTCTCAGCCGCTGCTCGAGGGTCTCGACCCAGGTCCGCACGTCGAGGTCGAGTTCTGGAAGGCCAAGTGTAAGAACCTGCAGTGCATCTACGAGCAGCTGCGCACGCCCAAGGTGCGCAAGATGGCCGAGCTGCTCAACACGATGCAGAGCAGTTACTTCCCGTCGTTCCGGAGCATGTTCCGCGACGTCGTCGGCGCGCTAGCCGAGGCGCAGGACGTCAGTCTCTACCTGACGCCGCTCGCGAGACACTTTGACGACCTCGAGCAGGCGGACTTTGCCGACGTCGTGCCGCTGCTGCGTCCGATGATGCACGTCATCTGTCTCGTGTGGAGTCGCTCGCGCTACTACTGCACGCCGGGACGCGTCGTCGTGCTGCTGCAGGAGATATGCAACCTGCTCATCGCGCAGGCGCGCGCGTACCTCGATCCCGCTGAGATCTTCAAGGGCGAGATCGACGAGAGCTTGCAGAAGGTGACGACGTGCCTCACGATATTCGCCGCGTTCCGCGCGACGTACGACGAACACAAGGCCGCCATCGCGACCTACTTCGGCGACGATCGGCCGGCGAAGACGTGGGAGTTTGCTCCCGCGCTCGTCTTCACGCGCATGGACAAGTTCACCGAGCGACTGCAGACGATCCGCATCCTCTTCGAGACGGCGCAGGAGTTCATGAAGCTAGAGAAGGTGGAGATGGGCGGCATCAAGGGTCGCAGTCTCGGCGCGCAGGTCGTCTGCATCTTCGAGGAGTTTCAGGGCCACTACGCCGGCTTCGCGCTGCGCACGTACGACGCTCTCGACCCGCTCTGCCGGGAGTTCATCGACGACTACTCCGTCTTCATGAACCACATCTACGACCTCGACCGCCGCCTCGGATCCATCATCTGCCAGGGATACGACGACTGCACCGGCACCGAGGGCGTCTTCAAGATGCTCACTTGTTTCGGCACGCTGCTCGACCGGCCAATCATCAAGGAGGAGTTCGAGGCGAAGTACCAGCTGCTGATGCGGACGATCGACGAAGACCTCGACACGGCGAAGCTCATCTACGACGAACACATGAGTCTCGCCAAGAAAGGTCGGGCGCCCATCAACAAGAACATGCCGCCGGTCGCCGGCGCCCTCAAGTGGGCGTCGGAGCTGCGCGAGCGAATCACGGCGCCCGTCGCTAGCTTCCGCGCTCTCGAGCACGCGGTGGCGGCGAGCCAGGCCGGACGACTCGTCTACCACAAGTGCGACGAGATGCTGGCCCTGCTCGCCGCGTACGAGACGCGGGTGTACAGCGAGTGGGCGGGAGCCGTCGGCGACAAGGCGGAGTTCAACCTGCAGCAGCCGCTCGTGACGCGCAACGCCGACACCCGCCTCGTCGCCGTGAACTTTGACCCTCAGCTGGTCGCCGTGCTGCGCGAGGTCAAGTACCTCGAGGCGATGAAGCGGACGGACATCCCCGAGGGAGCGGCGACGCTCTACAAGCGAAACGGCGAGCTCTACCAGTACGTCGCCAACCTGAACCTGACCGTCGGCTGGTACAACAAGATCCGCGAGACGACGCTGCCGGTAGAGTTCCAGCTGGTGCTGAGCGAGCTAGAAGCCATCGACCAGCTGCTGCAGCAGGCGGAGGGCGAGCTGAACTGGAACAGTGCCAACCTGTGGGACTACATCCAGGACGTGCAGGCGCAGGTGCGCGGCCTCGAGTCGCGGCTGCAGCAGGCCAAGGACAACGTGGTGTGCGTGCACGCCGTCATGGCGACGTGGTGCCGGCAGCCGCTGTTCGAGAAGAAGGAGAAGAAGCGCGATTCGCTGCTGAGCCTCGAGGACCGGCAGGAGCGGGCGCGGCGGCGTAACGCTGACGTCGCGGCGGCCGGGGAGCGCATCAACGCGCTGCTAGCGGAGAACGCCGCGCTGTACCGCGCCGACACCGCGTCGCAGGACTGGCAGCGATACGTGGAACACGTCGACGAGGTCATCACCGACGGATTCTTCGGTGCGATTCACTGCAGCATGAGTTACCTGCTGGACAACACCGACCACGAGCAGCCGCTGACGCCGCTGTTTGAGGCGCAGCTGGAGCTGCAGGCTCCCGAACTCGTCTTCTCTCCGTCGCTGGTGTACGGGCGCGAACACAGCCTCTACGCGATCATCGACGACCTGCTGCGCGACGTGTTCGCGATGGCTTCCTACATCGCGCGCGTCGCTCGCCACCTCGGCCACGACAACTACCAGATGGAGCTGGAGGACATGGAGGAGTTATCAGACATGAGACAGGAGGTGATCGATCGCGTGCAGGCAGCCGTAGGCAAGGCCATCGACTTCCGAAACTCGTTCGACAACTACTCGTACCTGTGGGTGGAGGATCGCGCAGAGTTCATGCGCCAGTTCCTCCTCTATGGACACGTCATCACGCCCGAGGAGCTGGAGAACGCCGGCGAGGAGGGCGTACCGGAGAACCCTCCACAGCTGTCGCACTTCAAGGAGCAGATCGACTCGTACGAGGCCATCTACACGGAGGTGGAAGGCATCGACAACACGGCGGTGTTCGACGGCTGGTTCCGCGTCGACATCCGTCCGTTCAAGCAGGCCCTGCTGAACGTCATCAAGCGCTGGAGCCTCATGTTCAAGCAGCACCTTGTCGACCACGTCACGCAGAGTCTCACGGGCCTGCAGGAGTTCATCCGCGTTGCTAACGCCGGGCTGACGCTACACGTCGAGGAGGGCGACTACGCGGGCATGGTCGACGTCATGGGTCACCTGATGCGCGTGCGCGACCGCAGCGCCACCACCGACGAGATGTTCGAACCGCTCAAACACACCATCGAACTGCTCAGTTCCTACAACCAGGAACTGTCCGACGACGTTCACTCGCAGCTGCACGAACTCCCCGAACAGTGGAACAACACGAAGAAGATCGCCGTCACCATCAAGCAGCATATGGCGCCGCTGCAGGCTAACGAGGTCGCCATCTTGCGACGCAAGAGCGCAAACTTCGACGTGCGGCAGCACGAGTTCCGCGAGAAATACCGCGTGAACGCGATCTTCCGCTACGACTGCGGCGACACGTACCCGCGGCTCGACCGCGCGCACGCTGAGATCACGGCGATGGAGGGAGAGATGGCCGCGCTCGCAGAGTCGGCGAGTCTCTTCGAGGTCAACCTGCCTGAGTTCAAGCAGCTGAAGCAGTGCCGGCGGGAGCTGCTGCTGCTCAAGCTGCTCTGGGACTACGCCATGATCGTACGCAGCAGCATCGACGACTGGAAGACGACGCTGTGGGCTGACATCGACGTCGAACAGATGGAGATGGACTGCAAGAAGTTTGCGAAGGACATCCGCGGGCTGGACAAGGAGTGCCGCGCGTGGGACGCGTACGGCGGGCTCGAGGACACCGTCAAGAACATGCTGACGTCGCTGCGCGCGGTCGGCGAGCTGCAGAACCCGGCGATCCGCGAGCGGCACTGGCAGGAGCTGATGCACGCGGCGAAGGTGAAGTTTGTGATGAGCGACACGACGAATCTGTCCGACCTTCTCGCGCTAAACCTGCACAACTTTGAGGACGAGGTTCTCGGCATCGTCGACAAGTCCGTCAAGGAGATGGCGATGGAGAAGACGCTCAAGGAGCTGGACGTGACGTGGGCGAGCATGGAGTTTGAGCACGAGCTACACGCGCGCACCAAGTGTAAGCTGCTGCGCTCCAGCGAGGAGCTCATCGAGACACTCGAAGACAACCAGGTGCAGCTACAGAACCTCATGACGAGTAAGTACATCGGACACTTCCTCGAGGAAGTCTCCGGCTGGCAGAAGAAGCTGTCCATGGCCGACCAGGTGATCAGCATCTGGTTCGAGGTTCAGCGTACCTGGTCTCACCTGGAGAGCATCTTCATCGGATCCGAGGACATCCGCTGCCAGCTTCCAGAGGATTCGAAACGCTTCGACAGCGTCGACGCCGAGTTCAAGGAACTTCTGTGCGCGATGGAGAACACGACGAACGTCGTCGCCGGAACGAACCGCGACGGACTGTTCGAGAAGCTCGAGGTTCTTCAGAGCCAGCTGACGCTGTGTGAGAAGGCCCTCGCCGAGTACCTCGAGACAAAGCGCCTCGCGTTCCCGCGATTCTACTTTGTGTCGTCTGCGGACCTGCTCGACATTCTCTCTAACGGCAACCAGCCTGAGCTGGTAGCTAAGCACCTGAGCAAGCTGTTTGACAGCATGGCGAGGCTGAAGTTCCTCGAGGACGAGGACGGCAACTTGACGAAGACCGCGCTCGGGATGTACAGCAAGGAGGACGAGTACGTGGATTTTGATCGGCCGTGTGAGTGCACGGGTCAGGTCGAGGCGTGGCTGAACCGTCTCATGCGAGCCATGTGCTCGACCGTGCGTCACTACATGGCAGACGGCGTCGTCACGTACGAGGAGAAACCTCGCGAGCAATGGCTGTTCGACTACATGGCACAGGTGGCGCTGTGCGGCACACAGATCTGGTGGACGACGGAGGTGGGCATCGCGTTCGGTCGGCTGGAGGAAGGCTACGAGAACGCACTGAAGGATTACTACAAGAAACAGGTGAACACCCACACACATATATATATATATATATATATATATAATATTATATAATATATATATATATTATATACATCAATAGTAACATGGAATAAACTACATGTACACAGGAATGGCATTATTAATACTTATGCTGATGATGATGACGATGATGCTGCTGCTGTTGCTGATACTGATGCTGATATTAATAATCTATGATTACTAAAAAATAATATATATACTAATACTACTAATGCTAATGCTAATGCCAATAATAATACTATTTATACTGATACTAATACTAAGAATGCATACATTTTCACTATATTGTCACTTGAATTATGTGGACAAATTTTTTTCTGATGTAACAAAATAAATTTTAAAAGTTGCTATGCTCTCTTAAATGTATGTATTACCTCGATACTTACACGCGCGTTATATCTGAAGGAAGTCCGTTTTGTTAATGTGCAGGTACAACAGCTGGTGACGCTCATCAACCTGTTGATCGGTGAACTAACGAAGGGTGACCGGCAGAAGATCATGACCATATGTACGATCGACGTTCACGCGCGAGATGTTGTTGCTAAGCTCATCCAGCAGAAGGTGGAGATGGCCGGTGCCTTCCTCTGGCAGTCACAGCTCAGACACAGGCACGTCACACATCCGTCACCCCACCATGCATGCATGTCTGTAGATAGATAGATGAAGTGCGAAAAGCTGTCAATAAATGTCAAATATACATGGCAATAAATGTCAACTTTGCTCAAATTCAATTTGAAAACTGTTTCCGAGAGCAAATTACTGAAAGCATGTTTTAAAAAGTGGAAAAATTAGGGGGGAAATATTATACAATTAGAAAAAATAATTAGCAATTGAATATGATTGGCATTAAAGATTCTACGTGTAGTAAGTTATTGCAATTTTCCTGATCTATTTACATTTCATTGACTGTATATGTATGGATGTATTATGGATGTGTTGACAGGTGGGATGAGAAGGATAAGGATTGCTTTGCTAACATATGCGACGCACAGTTCCGTTACTCACACGAATACCTGGGCAACACCCCGAGACTCGTTATCACACCTCTCACCGACAGGTATGCCTCCACACAACATCTACCGCAAACAAACCATCTCCCTAGAAATACGCTGCTTGATTCTACACGAGCGGCAGTATAGCATAGCACAGAGTGTGGATGAAACAGTGAACAGTGGAAGTAGGTTACGTTATCTGTCTACTAATCTATCATATCTATTAACTATTTATTTGTTATCTATTTATCTATCATGACACGTAGTTATTTCACGTGCTTATATCGGTACGTTCGCGTTTATCTATATAGGTGTTACATCACGCTGACACAGTCGCTGCACTTGATCATGGGTGGCGCCCCCGCTGGGCCGGCGGGCACGGGGAAGACGGAGACGACGAAGGACCTAGGTCGCGCGCTCGGCATCATGGTCTACGTGTTCAACTGCTCCGAGCAGATGGACTACAAGTCGTGCGGTAACATCTACAAGGGCCTCGCGCAGACGGGGGCGTGGGGGTGCTTCGACGAGTTCAACCGCATCTCTGTAGAGGTGTTGTCCGTCGTTGCCGTGCAGGTGAAGTGCGTACAGGACGCGATACGAGACCGCAAGCAGAGATTCGACTTCCTCGGCGAGGACATCTCGCTGATCCCTACCGTCGGTGTGTTCATCACGATGAACCCGGGTTACGCCGGACGCACGGAACTACCCGAGAACCTCAAGGCGTTGTTCCGACCCTGCGCGATGGTTGTTCCCGACTTTGAGTTGATCTCTGAGATCATGTTGGTGGCGGAGGGTTTCGTGGAGGCGCGTCTTCTCGCGCGTAAGTTCATCACGCTCTACACGCTCTGTAAGGAGCTGCTGTCTAAGCAGGAGCACTACGACTGGGGGCTGCGCGCCATCAAGTCCGTGCTCGTGGTCGCCGGCTCGCTGAAGCGCAGCGATAAGGGTCGGCCGGAGGACCAGGTGCTGATGCGCGCGCTCCGAGACTTCAACATTCCCAAGATCGTCACCGACGACGTGCCCATCTTCATGGGTCTCATCGGCGACCTGTTCCCCGCGCTCGACGTCCCGCGCAAGCGCGACGCCGAGCTCGAGAAGATGGTGAAGCAGTCGACGATCGACCTGAAGCTGCAGCCCGAGGAGGGCTTCATCCTCAAGGTCATCCAGCTGCAGGAGCTGCTGCAGGTGCGACACTCCGTGTTCGTCATCGGCATCGCCGGCACGGGCAAGACGCAGGTGTGGAAGACGCTCTTCAAGACCTACCAGAACCAGCGTCTGCGCCCCGTCGTCACCGACCTCAACCCGAAGACCGTCACCAACGACGAGCTGTTTGGCATCATCAACCCATCGACGCGCGAGTGGAAGGACGGACTGTTCTCCGTCATCATGCGCGACCAGGCCGGCATCGCGCACGACGGACCAAAGTGGATCCTGCTAGACGGAGACATCGACCCGATGTGGATCGAGTCGCTCAACACGGTCATGGACGACAACAAGGTGCTGACGCTGGCCAGTAACGAGCGTATCGCTCTCACGCCGCACATGCGACTCATCTTCGAGATCAGCAACCTGAGGACGGCGACGCCTGCGACGGTGTCTCGCGCCGGCATCCTCTACATCAACCCTGCTGACCTCGGCTGGAACCCGTACGTAGCCAGCTGGATAGAGACGCGAGACGTGCACTCAGAGAAGGCCAACCTGATGATACTGTTTGATAAGTATGTGCCGACGTGTCTCGAGACGATGCGCACTCGCTTCAAGAAGATCACACCCATCGCCGAGGTCTCTCACATACAGGTAATGCACACCTGTATGTATATATATATATATATATATATATATATATATATATATATATACATACATCGCCGAGGTCTCTCACATACAGGTAATGCACACCTGTATGTATATATATATATATATATATATATATAGTATCATATAGTATATATATATATATATATATCATTATATATACTACATCGCGAGGTCTTTCACATACAGCAATGCACACGCTGTATATATATATATATTATATATATATATATATACATGATCTAATTATATATACATACATATGTATATAGCAGGTGTGCATTAAGCGAGGCGGCAGGGGGGATGGAGAGGAGGAGGGAGGGCGTGTATGTGGGACGCCTCGTGATTGTATGTAATATATATATATATACATACATCGCCGAGGTTCTCTCACATACAGGTAATGTACACCTGTGTATATATATATAATATATATTATATTACATACATCGCCGAGGTCTCCCACATACAGGTATACAGGTAATGCACACGTGTGTACATATATATAATATACATCAACGAGGTTTCTCACATATAGGTAACACACACGTATATTATATATATAGGTATAGGTATGTGTGATATCCCAGAATTGAATGTACCGTAGAATGAATGGTTCGCTCATGTAAACACCTATCCTACGATCTCTGCTGCAGTCTCACGTTACAGATGCTCTGTTACCTGCTAGACGTACTGCTAACACCTGAGAACACACCGGCAGACTCGAGTAAGGACGTCTATGAACTGTACTTCACCTTCGCCTGCGTCTGGGCGTTCGGCGGCAGCATGTTCCAGGATCAACTCGTCGACTACCGCGTCGAATTCTCCAAATGGTGGACGAGCGACTTCAAGACGGTGAAGTTCCCGAGTCAGGGCACCGTCTTCGATTACTACATCGACCCCGAGACGAAGAAGTTCGCTCCGTGGACCGAGAAGGTTCCGAAGTTTGAGCTCGACCCGGACGTTCCCCTGCAGGCGGCGCTGGTGCACACGGCGGAGACGACGCGCATCCGCTTCTTTCTCGATCTGCTCGCTGAGAAGCGGCGCCCGGTCATGCTGGTCGGACCCGCCGGCACGGGCAAGACCGTGCTCATCGGCGACAAGCTGCTTGACGTCGGCGACGACTACATGGTCGCCAACGTGCCGTTCAACTTCTACACGACGTCGGAGATGCTGCAGCGCGTGCTCGAGAAACCGCTCGAGAAGAAGGCCGGGAGGAACTACGGTCCGCCGGGCACCAAGCGCCTCGTCTACTTCATCGACGACATGAACATGCCGGAGGTGGACGCGTACGGCACCGTGCAGCCGCACACGCTCATCCGACAGCACCTCGACTACAGCCACTGGTACGACCGCACGAAGCTCAGTCTGAAGGAGATCCACAACTGTCAGTACGTCGCCTGCATGAACCCGACGGCCGGCAGCTTCACGATCAACCCGCGGCTGCAGCGGCACTTCTGCGTGTTCGCTGTCAGCTTCCCGGGCGTGGACGCGCTGCACACCGTCTATAACAGCATCCTCACGCAGCACATGTCCTACCAGAGCTTCCCCGCGGCAGTGCAGAAGATTGGCTCAACCCTCGTCAACGCTGCGCTCGCGCTGCACCAGAAGGTCAGCCAGGTGTTCCTGCCGACAGCCATCAAGTTCCACTACATCTTCAACCTGAGGGATCTGTCAAACATATTCCAGGTACGTCGTTGTCGTTGTCATCGTCTTCGTTGTCGTAGCGTCTTGTCGTTTATCTTTCGAGGGGTACGTGCTAACCACCCCAAATGTCTGAAAATGTAACTTGCCAGTGATGATCCAAGAAGGAGGCCATATATAGAAATGTGTGGAATATTCGTGATTTCACTCGAGGGTTCATAAAATTAGTTTAATTATCACTGTCACTGTTCTCGTGTCCACGTTGATAGAGAGAAACATCTTATGAAGGACGAACTCCTCTTCTAATATCAGAAGCATAACTTTCCCACGACGTTTCAAAAAGATACGGCCCTTAAATCAATGCAGAGCGCCTCTGATTTCAGAGTCCTCTTTTTCTCTGAAAACGAAACACCTTTTTCCTTATTTCCTGGTTTTGATTTCCTCGTTCCACGTAGTGTTTGCTCTAGCCGCTATTTATGCTGTCTTACCTGATCGTCGTCATATGAGTATCTGTTGTTATGCGAAGTTCTATACCCACTCGTGAATTATCATGAAGTACAGAAGTTTGTGACTTAACGTGGCAAGACAACGTCGGGCTGGTTTAGCACAAGCACTGGCTCCATAGTGGTAGCCTGCGTTGAAGTTGTCTAGCGTGTAAACACGAGGTAGTGCGTGCAGGCAGCAGGTAAGAGCATCCGATAGCAAGCGATCTTACATATTTATATGAATTTAAAAGCAAATCGAAAAACCAATTTTTTTTTTCCCGTTTGCTTTTTCACTGTCGCAATCCTTTTGGATCTATAAAAAGCTGCAATAATGCTCTCAGAATGATGCGTTTACAATCGTGGTACAAAAACGACACGCAGTTAATGTTCCAGAGATGATGATTGTGTAGCAGCAGGTCGTTGTCATGCCACCGTGACGTCATCACTTCGGTACTCGTATATGAATAGTTTATCTATTGTAACATCGTCTTACCTCTTCGTTGATGCATCGCTGCGTTGCAGGGCATGTTGTTCTCGACGCCGGACTGTGTGAAGACGTCCTGTAACTAGTGCGGCTGTGGATGCACTCGAGTCTCAGCGTGTGTACGGCGACAAGCTCATCGACGACTCGGACATGAGCAACTTCCAGAAGCAGCAGCTCGAGATAGCATCCAAGTTCTTCGAGGTACTTGCCTGGGGGAGGGGTTGTGCGCGGGAGGAGAACGAAGGCGAGCGTGGCGGATGGGGGAGGGGCTCGTACCGGGATTACTGTCCGTAAATATATTTAAGGACAAAAAGTTGGTTCTCGGATTTCTTTGAGGTATGTTACTGTTACGCTTGTAGAGCAAAATGAATCGTGCGTCCGTACAGGTATCATTGCATATGTCGTTCATTTACGCGCGTGATAATAGAAATAGGCTAAGAACATTGGTTTTCGCAAGTCCTTGAAGTCTTGATTTGGAGGTAGTCTTGAAAAGTACTTGAATTTGGTAAATGTTTGATTTTGTGCTTGAAAAGTCTCTGAATTTCATGAATTATCCTTGAATTGTTTGAATTTTGTTCCTCGCTAATGGCAAACCTCAATAAAATTGGTTTTAATGAGCTTAAAAAGTATTAGACACGATTAGACAAGTTAAATCAGGCGTGACTTTAACGGTGGCGTGGGCCATGGCACCTGAAACGCGTCCGGGCCAACCTGAAACTGGTCGGGTTGGTTGGTGGCTCAGCCTTGGCCCCAATAAAAATAGGCCGTGGTTACGCGACGGGTTCGTTCGCAGGAGCGCTAGGCTATCGCTCCGGACATCCATGATCATCTCACAGCGAGAGATCTTGCGACACTTACACGATGATTGCGCATTGGGACGACTCTGCTGAAATTGCCTGAGTACTAGATCGATGTACGATGTAGCGTAGATGAAAAAAAAAAACCCTGTGTGCGTATGCGTGTTTTGCGGTGCACGTTGCGTTGGTGCTGTGTGCCCGCGCCCGCCGCGCGCGTTTGTGTGCTAGGTGTGTGTTCTGGAAGCAGATTTGGAGATGTGAATCGCAACTCAGAAACAATGCTTTACTTGGCTAAATCATAACAGTCGTGCCCTGCCATCATTCGCTACCATCGCTGTGTGTGTTCGTTGCGCAATTCTTTCTCCTACGAGTTGAGGCGAGTGAGTAATACCAGAGTTATGGAATAGAGAGGTGGTTTGTAGGGTGACTACACTGTAGCGACTAGTGAGGGTGTTAGGGGGGAGGGGTGGTAGGTGATACACTGTAGAGACGAGGGGTGTAGGGGCGGAGGGGTGTAGGGATTGATACCTGTAGGACAGGGATGGTATTATGGGCAGGGGTGTAGGCATGATACACTGTTAGAGACAGGGTAGGGGTTGTAGGGGGGAGGGGCTGTAGGCGATGTATACCTGTAGAGACAGGGGAGTTCGTGTATGGGAGGGATCCTCGATCGGGTGTCTCACAGGGATGATTCACGTATAGGCAGGAATGGATATTGTAGGGGGGAGGCTCAGGGGTGTAGGGATGTACATGTAGCAGAAGGAGAGGCGTGTAGGGAGGGGGGTGTAGGGATGATACACTGTTAGAGACAGGGAGGGGTGTACGGAGGATTACATGTAGAGACAGGAAGGTTGTGGGGCGGAGGGGTGTAGGATGACACTGTAGGAGACAGAGAGGGTGTAGGGGGAGTGGTTGTAGGGATGATACACTGTAGAGACAGGAGGGTGTAGGGGGAGGTGTAGGAATGTCCTGTAGAAACAGTTAGGGTGTAAGGGGGAGGGGTTCTGTAGCGGATGAGTTACATGCTAGAGACAGGCGCAGGGGTGTAGGATGTATTAACTGTAGAGACAGGAGGGGTAGGGGGAGGGTGTAGGATTGTACACGTTGTAGCGACAGGAGGGGTGTTATGGTGGAGGGGTGTAGCGGAGTGATCACTGTAGAGATAGAGGATGTAGGGGGAGGGGTGTAGGGATGCTCATGTAGAGCAGGGAGGGTGTAGGGTGGAGGGCGGTGTAGGGATGATACACTGTAGGGACGATGAGTGGTGTAGGGTGATCTGTAGAGAGAGGAGCGGCTGTAGGGGGAAGGGTATGTGTGATAACTGCTAGAGACAGAGAGGCGTGTAGGGAGGTAGGGGTGTAGGGTGATCACTGTAGAGACAGAGTAGGGATGTACGCACGTCGGGGGGAGGGTGTAGGCGATGATACACTGTAAGACAGGAGCGTGTATGGGGAGGGGTGTAGGATGGCATACAACTGTAGAGACGAGGGGTGGTGAGCGGCGGGAGGGGGGGGGCGGTGTAGGGAGTGCAAAGAGACCAGAGGCTGAGCGACTCTGATGGGTCTGACCCCATGTCAGAAAATTTGATTCTTGATTCATCAGAGTTCAGATGACAGTTCCACTTGGACATTGATATTGAAGACAGTTTCATTTGACTCTTAATTGATCATGAGTTCTGCTACTTTTAAGATTACTGGCAGCAGGGATTTGAAGCTTTTATATTTGGAACTTATTGAACTCAGTGGCGTTTTGTTCTTTTTTGTTTGTTTGTCGTATCTAGTTATGTTATGAGATTATTTGCCAAAACACTATTACCCTAGTTAGGATATCAAATAATTATTTAATAAATGTAGCAACCGCGGCACACTGAAATCCATTTGGCCACCTGATTTCATACTCAGTGCCCGGTCGGCACCTGATAAAAAGCTTAGGCAGCGCTGGTTAATGATGGATTCCAATTACAGTCAGTAAATCAGAAAATCAAGGCTATGGTTGTAGAAGGGTTTATTATATGTGATCCAGGTAAGTTTTAGGAGATGACAGTGATTAAGAATGGGATCTATATATTAAATTATCTGGTATGTTTTTGTTCTGTATAATATTTCGATAAATGCAATAAAAATGTCCCTGAATTTCCGATTAAAATGTCCTTGAAAAGTTCCTTGAAACGATTTTCGTCTTTGGCTGTATGAACCATTGACAGCAGTCCGTTTGCAGCTAACTCATCCTTCATTTTCAGATGTTTTTTCATCTTAGGTACGAACTCCCTTATTTTATAATAGCTTCCAGCATACCGCAACGCGAGTTCTGATAATCGCACAACCTCTCCCCGTCACTTCGTTAGCGACGGCGTTAACTATCTCGATTCTTCCAGCATTATGCGAAGCAGACGCCACTCCCCTGTGTTAATGATCTCATACTGTGAGCTACGGTGCTCTCACAAATCACCCGTTCTCTCTCTCTCTCTCCTCTCACCATCCCCGGTCTCTCTCTCTCTTCTCGTACATACGTCTCTCTCTCTTCTCTCTCACAATCATCATGCGCACTCTCTTCTTCTCTCCACAGATTATCTGCCTCGTCTCTCTCTCTTTCTCTGCACATCAGCCGTGCTCTCTCTCTCTCTCTTCACCTCAGCGTCGTCTCTGCTCTTTCTCTCTCTCAATCACCGTCTCTCTCTCTCTCTCTCTCTCTCGTCTCTCTCTCTCGTCTCTCTTCCTCGCTCTCTCTCTCTCTCTCTTCTCTCTCTACTCTCTCTCTCTTCCCCCCCCCTCTACTCTCTCTCTCTCTCTCTCTCTCTCTCTCTCTCTCTCTCTCTCTCTCTCTCTCCCCCTCCTCTCTTCTCTCTCTCTAGTCTCTCTCTTCTCTCTCGTCTCTCGACGTCACCAGTCTCTCTCTCTCTCTCTCTCTCTCTCTCTTTCTCTCTCTCTCTCTTCTGTCCTCTCTCTCTCTCTCTCTCTCTCTCTCTCACGGACACGTCTCTCTATCTCCCTCCCTCTTCACTCTCTCTCTCTCTCCCTCTCTCTCTCTCTCTCTCTCTCTCTCTCTCTCTCCTCCTCCTCTCACTCTCTCTTCTCTCTCTCTCCTGTCTCTCTCTCCTCTCTCTGTCTCTCCTCTCGTTTGCTCACTCTCTCTCTCTCTCTCTTCTCGTTCATCTCTCTCTCTCTCGCCTTCAACGTCACCACGCGCTCTCTCGCTTCGTCTCACGGTCACCACGCCGTTTCTCGCTTTTCCTCGGCAGGCGTTGACCGAGGTGCTCTCCAGCGAGCCGGCTGCCTCTACTGTCACTTCGCGGGCGGCATCGGCGGAGCCCAAGTACGGCGCTGGCGTTGAGCTGAGTTGGAGGCGCGCTGAGTCGCACGCTCATCGTAAGGCGTTGGACGGCTTAACAACGAGCTGACGCTGCCGATGAACCTCAGGTGCTGTTTGTAGGACGCCATGCGAGTGTGTCGCATCAAGCGCATTCCTCGAGTCGGCGCGCCGGCACGCTCTCCTCGTCGGGTCGGAGGCAGCGGCAGCGGGGTCTTAGGCCGCCTAGCAGCTACATCAGGGACTAGAGGTAGGTGACACGCGCGGGGGGGGGGGATGCAGGTCTAGCGCGCTAGCAGCCTAATCAGCGGCTAGAGTAGGTTGGAACGCGAGGAGGTGGGGGGAGAGCTTAGCGCGCTGCATCCCTACATCGCGGCTAGAGTGTTAGGGTGACACGCGCGTGGGGGTGGGGGCAGAGTCGTAGCGCGCTGCAGCTACATCAGGGACAGGGCTACGAGGTGACACGCACGGCGGCGGGGGGGGGGCAAGTCTAGCGCGTACCTTTAGCAGCCTACATCAGCGGAATAGAGGTAGGCTGACACGACACGCGGGGGCGTGGGGGCAGAGTCTAGGCGCTAGCAGCCTACCATCCAGCGGACTGGAGGTAGGTGACATCGCACGCGGGGGCGTGCGGGGGCGAGTCTTAGCGCGCTAGCAGCCTACATAGCGGACTCGAGGTAGGTGGCGTTATAAGAATGGGTTGATGTTTTAAAATTTTGCATTCGCAACGATTTCGGGAATTATCTGTCTTCATCAGGCCTATAAAATGCAACCATGCATTAATATATTCATATATATATTATATCTTATATATATATATATTATATATATAATGCGTGCGCGGGGTGTGTATTACGGTGGGTATTATTTTATTTATGTTAGTATGATATCAATAATGAATTTAAAAACTGTTTTTTGTTTTTCTCAGTCATTAATATATATATATATATATAATAGTTTATAATTATATATACTTATATAAAATACAGGGTTTCTCAAGGCCATTATAGCCTGGCGGCCCGCCAGGTTATCGTCGACCCCCGCGCTTTAAATTGCACCGCATTCTATATATATAGGCCCCGGACCCCTAGCGCAACCGCTTTCGGCGATTTGCAACTAGGACCGTAAAGGCAGCACCCGCCATGCTATAATGAAAAAGCTTGGAGAACCCTGATATATATTATAACTATATAATTAACAGTATCGGTGAGTGACCCCTGCACGCGTGCGTGCGCGTGCGTGCGTGTGTTGTAGGTGTTCCAGATCACGCTGCGTAAAGGTTACAGCATCGTCGACCTGAAGGCCGACATCGCCGCGCTCTACATCAAGGCCGGCCTCAAGAACATCGGCATCATGTTCCTGATGACCGACGCTCAGGTCGCCAGCGAGAAGTACCTCGTTCTCATCAACGACCTGCTCGCGTCGGGAGAGATCGCCGACCTCCTCCCCGACGACGACCTCGAGAACGTCATCAGCGGCATCCGTAACGAGGTCAAGGCCGCCGGCATCATGGACACGCGCGACAACTGCTGGCGATTCTTCATCGACCGCGTGCGGCGCATGCTCAAGGTCGTGCTCTGCTTCTCTCCGGTCGGCGTGACGCTGCGCGTGCGCGCGCGCAAGTTCCCCGCCATCGTCAACTCCACTGCCATCAACTGGTTCCACGAGTGGCCACAGGAGGCGCTGATGTCGGTCAGCATGCGCTTCGTCGGCGAGATCGAGATGCTCTCGGGAGACGTTCGCGAGTCGATCTCGTCCTTCATGGCGTACGTTCACACGTCGGTGAACAACCTCAGCAAGGTGTACCTCGCGAATGACCGCCGCTACAACTACACGACTCCGAAGAGTTTCCTCGAGCAGATCAAGCTGTATGAGAACCTGCTGGCTAAGAAGCATCGTGAGCTGCAGGGGAAGATCGACCGGCTGGAGAGCGGACTGGAGAAGCTGAGAAACACAGCGTCGCAGGTCGACGACCTCAAGGCCAAGCTCGCTGCGCAGGAGGTCGAACTGAAGCAGAAGAACGAGGACGCAGACAAACTCATACAGGTGAGGGAGGGACGCACGCGGGGGGAGGGGCGGGGTAGGGATGCACGGGGGGCTTGGGGAGGAGGTGAGGGGCGGAGCAGGGGGCGAACACGTGCACGGCTTCCTGTATTCTTATTTTACTTGTATCAACTCTAAAAAGTAAATCATATTATAGTTCTATTATCAGCAATTATCAGTGATTCCTGTTCACTGTCACAACATTCTTGTACCGTCATCATGTAACAACAGCATTCCTATGTACAGTCATCATAACATAGCTAATCACACCGCTCCTAATAACTCCACTTCTCCCGCCACCACCAGGTCGTTGCCATAGAGACGGAGAAGGTGAGCAAGGAGAAGGCGATAGCTGACGTGGAGGAGAAGAAGGTTGCCGTGATAGCAAAGGAGGTCGGTCAGAAGGCGAGCGACTGTGAGCGAGACCTCGCTAAGGCCGAGCCCGCTCTCGCCGCCGCGCAGGAAGCCTTAAACACACTCAACAAGAACAACCTCACAGAGCTGAAGTCGTTCGGTTCTCCCCCGGCGGTCGTCGTCAGCGTCGGCGCCGCCGTCATGTGCCTGCTCGCGCCCGGAGGAAAGGTGTCCAAGGATCGCAGCTGGAAGGCAGCCAAGGTCATGATGGCCAAGGTCGACCAGTTCCTCGACTCTCTCATCACCTACGACAAGGAGAACATCCACGAGAGCTGCCTCAAGGCGGTCGCTCCCTACCTCGCCGACCCCGACTTCACGTACGAGTTTGTGTCGGGTAAGTCGATGGCTGCGGCAGGTCTGTGCTCGTGGGTCGTCAACATCGTGCGCTTCTACACGGTCTACTGCGACGTCGAACCCAAGCGCCTCGCGCTCAACACGGCCAACGCCGAGCTCGCCGCCGCGCAGGAGAAGCTATCCAGCATCAAGAAGAAGCTGCAGGAGCTGGAGGAGACGCTGCAGAACCTGACGAGTCAGTTTGAGCGTGCGACCGCGGAGAAGCTTCGCTGCCAGCAGGAAGCCGACTCGACGAACCGCACCATCTCGCTCGCCAACCGTCTCGTCGGCGGTCTCGCGTCCGAGAACGTGCGCTGGGCGGAGTCGGTCGCCGAGTACCGCGAGCAGGAGAAGACGCTGCCGGGAGACGTGCTGCTCGTCACCGCGTTCGTCTCCTACGTCGGCTGCTTCACGCGACGCTACCGCCTGCAGATGATGAACGACATGTGGCTGCCGTTCCTGCGCGCGCAGAAGAACCCGATCCCGATCACGAGCGACCTCGACCCGCTGTCGATGCTCACCGACGACGCGGACGTCGCCGGCTGGAACAACGAGGGCTTGCCCAGCGACCGCATGTCCACCGAGAACGCCACCATCCTCACAAACTCCGAGCGATGGCCGCTGATGATCGACCCGCAGCTGCAGGGCGTCAAGTGGATCAAGACGAAGTACGGCGAGGCGCTGCGCACGATCCGGCTCGGTTCGCGCGGATACCTGGACGTGATCGAGGCGGCGCTGTCCTCCGGCGACGTCGTGCTCATAGAGAACATCGGGGAGAGCGTCGACGCCGTGCTCGACCCGCTGCTGGGACGCAACACGATCAAGAAGGGTCGCGCGATCCGCATGGGCGACAAGGAGGTCGAGTACAACGCCAACTTCCGACTCATCCTGCACACGAAGCTCGCCAACCCGCACTACAAGCCCGAGATGCAGGCGCAGACGACCCTCATCAACTTCACGGTGACGCGAGACGGACTCGAGGACCAGCTGCTGGCAGAGGTCGTCTCCAAGGAGAGACCCGACCTCGAGCGTCTCAAGTCGGACCTCACCAAGCAGCAGAACGACTTCAAGATCGTGCTGAAGACTCTCGAGGATTCGCTGCTCTCCCGGCTCTCCGCCGCCGAGGGAAACTTCCTCGGCGACACGGCGCTAGTCGAGAACCTCGAGACGACGAAGAAGACCGCCGCGGAGATCGAGAGGAAGGTAGCCGAGGCGAAGACGACAGAGGTGGAGATCAACACGGCGCGAGAGCTCTACCGGCCGGCCGCCGCCAAGGCCTCCCTCCTCTACTTCATCCTCAACGACCTGAACAAGATCAACCCGATCTATCAGTTCTCGCTGAAGGCGTTCAGCGTCGTCTTCCAGAAGGCGATCGAGCGAGCGGAGCCGAGCGACGACGTCCGCCAACGCGTCGTCAACCTCATCGACTGCATCACCTACTCCGTGTTCGTCTACACGACGCGCGGACTGTTCGAGTGCGACAAGCTCATCTTCACCGCGCAGATGGCCTTCCTTGTGCTCATCATGAACCGCGAGATCGCTCCCGCCGAACTCGACTTCCTCCTGCGCTTCCCCGTCGTCGTGAACGTCACCTCTCCTGTCGACTTCCTCCCCAACCACGGCTGGGGCGGCGTCAAGGCCCTGTCCGCGCTCGAGGATTTCCGAAACCTCGACCGCGACATCGAGGGCTCGGCGAAACGCTGGAAGAAGTTTGCGGAGAGCGAGTGTCCGGAGAAGGAGAAGTTCCCGCAGGAGTGGAAGAACAAGACGTCGCTACAGAAGCTGTGCATCATGCGCGCCCTGCGGCCCGACCGCATGACCTATGCTGTGCGAAACTTCATCGAGGAGAAGATGGGAGCGAAGTACGTCGAGGGGAGGCAGGTCGAGTTCGCTAAGTCATACGAGGAGTCGGGTCCCGCGACCCCCGTCTTCTTCATCCTCTCTCCCGGCGTCGACCCTCTCAAGGACGTCGAGGCCCTCGGCAAGAAGCTGGGATTCACCTTCGACAACAAGAACTTCCACAACGTCTCGCTGGGTCAAGGTCAGGAGGTTGTCGCGGAGCAGGCGATGGAGGTCGCGGCGAAGGACGGACACTGGGTCATCCTGCAGAACGTTCACCTTGTCGCCAAGTGGCTGCCGATGCTAGAGAAGCTGCTGGAGAGGTACAGCGTGGGAAGCCACGAGTCGTTCCGCGTCTACATGAGCGCCGAGCCGGCCGGCACGCCCGACGCGCACATCATCCCGTCCGGCATCCTCGAGACGTCGATCAAGATCACGAACGAGCCGCCGACGGGCATGCACGCAAACCTGCACAAGGCTCTCGACAACTTCACGCAGGACACGCTGGAGATGTGCGCGCGCGAGGCCGAGTTCAAGAGCATCCTCTTCTCGCTCTGCTACTTCCACGCGGTCGTCGCCGAGCGGCGTAAGTTCGGCCCGCAGGGCTGGAACCGCGTTTACCCGTTCAACACGGGAGACCTGACGATCAGCGTCAACGTGCTCTACAACTACCTCGAGGCGAACCCCAAGGTGCCGTGGGAGGACCTGCGATATCTCTTCGGAGAGATCATGTACGGCGGACACATCACGGACGACTGGGACCGCCGGCTGTGTAAGACCTACCTAGAGGAGTACACGCACCCTGACCAGCTGGAGGGAGAGCTGTACCTCGCTCCCGGGTTCGCAGTGCCTCCAAACAGCGACTACAAGGGTTACCACCTGTACATAGATGAGTACCTGCCGGCGGAGAGCCCTTACCTGTACGGCCTGCACCCGAACGCTGAGATCGGCTTCCTCACGACGACGTGCGAGAACCTCTTCAAGACGCTGTTCGAGATGCAGCCGCGCGACTCGGGCGCGGGCGGCGGCGCCGGGGTCACGCGCGAGGAGAAGGTCAAGGCGACGCTGGACGAGATCCTCGAGAAGCTTCCCGAGGAGTTCAACCTCGCGGAGATCATGAGCAAGGCAGAGGAGCGTACGCCGTACGTCGTCGTCGCCTTCCAGGAGTGCGAGCGCATGAACACGCTGACCGCCGAGATGCGTCGCTCGCTGCGGGAGCTCGACCTCGGTCTGAAGGGAGAGCTGACCATCACCAACGACATGGAGGACCTCTCCAACTCGCTCTACTTCGACCAGGTGCCGGCGTCGTGGACGAAGCGCGCGTACCCGTCGATGCACACGCTCGCGGCGTGGTACGCCGACCTGCTGCTGCGCATCAAGGAGCTCGAGAACTGGACGACGGACTTCCAGCTTCCCGTCTCCGTGTGGCTCGCCGGCTTCTTCAACCCGCAGTCGTTCCTCACCGCCATCATGCAGTCGATGGCGCGCAAGAACGAGTGGCCGCTCGACCGCATGTGCCTGCAGTGCGACGTCACCAAGAAGAACAAGGAGGACTTCACGAGCGCGCCCCGCGAGGGTTCCTACGTTCACGGACTCTTCATGGAGGGCGCTCGCTGGGACACGCAGTCCGGCATGATCACCGACTCCCGCCTCAAGGAGATGTTCCCGGCGATGCCCGTCATGTTCATCCGGGCGATCCCGGTGGACAAGGTGGACTCGCGTAACGTGTACGAGTGTCCCGTGTACAAGACGCGTCAGCGCGGACCCACATACATCTGGACGTTCAACCTGAAGACTAAGGAGAAGCCTGCGCGATGGGTGCTGGCAGGCGTGGCCCTGCTGCTGCAGGTGTAACACAGGTGTGTGAGCTACAGGTGTGTGAGTTGTGAAGTGCATGTGTGAGATTCGGCGTGTGGGATCACGTGTGGTTGCTGCTGTGAGGTTTAAGAGGTGAGGTTTCATATGTGAGTTTGCAGCTGCGAGTGGAGTTCATACAAGGTTCATTCCTATCCGTTCTAGTTTTGATGGGATTTGATGGGTTATGGAGCTTTACAGTGGGTTTTACTATGACTTCTATGATGGACTTAAAGAAAGAGTCGATAAAAATGTTAAACAGTCCAATATTAAAATCTAATAAATCTATCTATATATATATATTTATATGCGGTAATGTGAGAGCTTCACTAATAAATAGTCCTCCATGTGTGTGTCTGTGAAGCAGTGCATTTATGCCAAAGTTACTCGTGCCAAATAATACGGACAACATATCTGAAAACTCGTTATATGGCACGTATAATTATAAAACCATATATTAGGTAATATTCGGTTTTTTAACATGTATCCGTGTTGTTATTTGGTTGTACATTCGGTTTTTAGTGATGAAATAAATGCACGTACTTGATAATGAGCCTTTTCTGCACGTTTTGTGGGAACATTTTTATTTCCTGGATACACAATTAAATTTTATCATGTACACATATCTACCTACTTACATGTACCTATTTACCTACCTACATATACATGTACCTACCTACCTACCTACATGACTTGTACATGTACCTACATGTACACGTACCTACCTACCTACCTACCTACATGTACATGTACCTATCGCTACCTACCTTACTTACCATGTACATTCGTACCACTTACCTACCTAACATGTACATGTAGCCGATAACCTACAGGATGTACATGTACCTATTTACCTACCTACATATACATGTACCTACCTACCTACCTACATGTACACGTACCTACCTACCTACCTACCTACATGTACATGTACCTACCTATACCTACCTACATGTACATGTACCTATTTACCTACCTACCTAGCTACATGTAGATGTACCTGTTTATCTACCTACCTACATGTACATGTACTTATTTACCTACCTATCTACCTACATGTACATGTACCTACCTACCTACCTACATGCACATGTACCCACCTACCTACCTACACATACATGTACTTATCTACTTACCTAGGCTAGCTACCTAGCTACCAACCACCACACCTACTTACCTAGCCACCCACCAGCGAACAAATCTACCTACCTAGTTACCAAGCTACCAACCAACCAACCAACCTACCCAATGAACTAGTTGAAATTTGTACAACAGCTTAGAAGTACCAGTGACAACAACAACAACATAAATATACATGAGCAAAATATTAATTTTGATTTATTGTTATTACCAACCTCATCTCACGACAGTCGACGTAATTATTTCCACCATCACGCGTACAACACACACGCATCTGTCTGAAACCAACGAATCTCCGCTGAGCCTTTGAATTTCGACCAACCAAACTAAACCATACGGCCCTAGTCTAGAAGAGATGTCCCACAATACTTCATGTCTACAATACAATACACAATGGCCGGGTCATGTTTTCTAGACTAGCTCCAAACATACAACCAACGTCGCTTCAGTTTATGAGCTAGCCGCAACAACAAGGAATTCCGTCGGTGCGTACCTTACAGATTTGTGGTGATTTACGTACGTGGCGTTTACAGATTTGCGTACAGATTTGTGGTGAAACCACAGACTAACGGATACAATTGTATGTTATAAATGTATCCGTTAGTCTGTGGTGAAACTGTGCATATCGGCTACCATCATCCCATCAGCCACACGAGGCATGCTCTGTTACCAGTAACTTATACATAACTTACTGTTTAACTACTGTTTTACTGTTTTAGCTGTTAACTAGCTCTAGAACTATAGCCCTTCGCTCCGCCACAGGTTGTAACATGACTAACTGCTGACCAGGTGAAGTGGTGCTGCTTTTAATATCATATTAATTCTACAGGACACGATTTTGAAGGAGAGGTACGCGTGTACAATTATAAATAGTTTACCAGTGTGCACCGAGTGTACAGGTTTTCAGGTACATGTACTCTCTACCTGCCAAGACAGTTAATTCACGAGAATGTACAAACCCCATCACTCATCACCCACCCACATGCACCAGCTAACACTGGTTTTGCAAAACCTACATGTCAGTACCCCGTTCACACTACTATCATTAACCTATTTATACGGAAGTGTAATTCAAAATTCGAGCTTCGAATTCAGTATACATACTGATAGGGTTATGCTATATTACCTACCACTGTCCATTTCGTTCAAGAACTTCGATGTATTATTAAATCATTCAAACACACCGACAAGGATGCGTGCATATGCTACAACAAGTTTAAAATAAGTTAGAACTATTTTACAATGCGTATAAAAATTATTAGATAACCACAACGAACCGCAACGTTTTTACAACCTATTAAAAAAATTATACAAAAGTGTAAAATAATTTCTTAACATGGTTATTATGTGGTTACTGAAACATAACTATGAGGTAACATATTTATACGTAATAGGCTTCTGCCTCTATCGAACGAACGCACAAAGTTTCATAAAAGTTAGCTCATAACCTGTACATAGAGCTGCACTGAATTCACGCACACGCACGCACGCACGCACGCGCACGCACGCACGCACA